CTTTCAAGAAATTGCGTTTGGTAGAGGATGGAAGAGTTGGAATAGGAGCCTCATATCACCACATCAAGAACTTCTACAGCTCCAAATTTTCTAAAACTACCAACGAACAGCGATCGAGCTTGTGTACGATTTCAAACCCATCGGCTTCCTCTACTCTATATTTCAAAAATCATAAATACATTGTAAAGAAAGAATTTTCGGTGGATTGAAGAGATCTCATGGCCAATGCTTTATCGTCTTTTGTGGAGGTTGTAGGTTTTGGGGACTCCTTGGGGGATGGCGGTTCCTCCAGGCGTGTAACCCCTCTGGCGTGGTCTTCTCACTTCAAAAGGACAAAGATGGAGCGGTGTGCGGTTTCTCGGACCTGTAAGACAGTGGCGCTGCGACTGTTTAGAGGAGATTAGAGTTACGGAAGTTGGATTTGTCTTGAATCTGACGTCGGTGGCCGCGTGGGCTACTCCGAAGGTGGTCTACCAGTGGAAGGTGAAATGTTGACAACTGTAGCTCTGGACTTGGACACCCGGTAGCTCTGAAGTCGCGACCCACCTGAAAAGGACCACCAGTTTCCTTTCAGAGTTGGAACTTAACTGTTCCTAAGCTTTCTCTCCGTCCTCCGTGATCCCTGTTTCTTTAGATTAGCTTGTTTGTGCTTGCTGTTGATTCTTGTAACCTAGAACCGCCGGAACTACGGCTTACCGGAATTTCTTTTCCTTCTCGATGTAATCACTCAGATCCCCTTTTGGGGGGTTTCAAAATAAATTCTTATTAAAAAAATTAGATGAAGAGATTTTTATAGGATGAGAAATAAAGAAGGTGAAATGAAACCATTAAAAAGGAATAGAAACATAAGTGAATGTTTTAACAGTGGGTTGTTAACGGCGAGCTGCAGAATCTTGAAACGACGAAATGGTGGAAACGAAAGAGAAGAGTCGGAAACAATCGACGCTTGCAATGAATGTAAGGTCTGGGACAGATGGAAATGGGCTAGTTCAAAGCCCACGTGAATGGCTCGGTTGTAAGCTGTAACAAATGAAGGATGAAATGATGTGGCAATTTGTAATCTTCTTATTGGTTAATTATTTTAGTTGACGTGGACAGGCTGTGGGGGCTTCATTTGCAACTTTTATTAGTGTTAGATTGTCTAATGTCTATAAATTAATAATAAGGGTTACATTTACAATCATAAAAATAAGAAAAAATTCCATAAAAATAGCCCAACTAAATTTCGTTAAACTTTTTAATATTCACATTTTTCTTCCTAATTAATTATTTTGCAATTTTAATACACAAAATTTTATAAATATGCCCATTTTAATACAAATTTTTTTGTATATTTAGTTAAAATTACTAATAAATTTTAAATGAAAATTTAAAAATCTACAACTTTACAGAAAATTCTAATTTTATTTGTATTTGAAAATTAAAAGTAAATAAGTTTTTTTACAATCTTAAATTTTGTAATATTTTTTTTAAAAGTTTTAGATATTGAATTTAGTTTGTTTTCTAAAATAAAAAATAAATTAATTTTGTTTCCTTCAAAATTAATTTTATTAAAATTTTAGATTTTAGCCATAGTTAATTTACCTTCTTTCTTAAATCTTCAAGTAGAATTAGAAATTTTCAATATTTTTTCATAGAATTTATAAATTTTAAAATTTATGTTTGAAATTTATTAGTATTGTTAATTAAAATAAACAAATGGGTACTAAAATGAGCACGGTTATAAAGTTTGTGTACTAAGAACATCATTATTGGCCGTCATTAGGCCTGTCCTTAGTGGATTTGGGTCAAAAAATAAATCAAAAAGATTGATTTATCTAACAAACGGACCTTAACTAAGGAACAATGGGTTTCGTCCTTAGCGGATTGGATTGGTTACGTGGCAGCAGGGTATCGAGTGTCGAAATAGGGTTTGGAAAGTCGAATCGCGTCATCTCTTTTCCAGCCTTCACCCGATTATCTCTTCTCTGCGGTGATAGCTTTTGCGATATCTTCTCCGGAGATTTCAAGGACAAATCGTCGTGACCAAATCGATCTGCTTCCGGATCGGACGCGTCTCCGCCGATTCATACCTAAACGAGGTATGTGTTTTTCCCCCTTCATGGGATTTAGATGATTTAGTTGTGATTGATGATTTGTATTCTCCAATTGTGGAATCCGTCATGGGATTTCAATGATTTTGTTTTGATTGACGATTTGTACCCTCCGTTTCTATGATTGAGTGCTTTCGATGTGATGAATCAGATTGGTGTTTGTGATGAATCTGATTGACGTTTGTGATTGTACATGAAATAGAGTTAAGGTTTTCTTAATCTTGTTTGTTCTTCCTTGTATACATATGATAGAACAAATGAGATAGGTTTGATGTTTTATTTCATTTATGATCGGTTTCTGTTGAATGGTTAACATGAAATAGAGTTAGGGTTTTCTTAATCTTGGTTGTTCGACTTGATTTCATTTGATGATTTATTTCATTTATGATCGGTTTCTGTTGAATGGTTAACATAAAATAGACTTAGGGTTTTCTTAATCTTGGTTGTTCGACTTGATTTCATTTGATGCTTGATTTCATTTAGGATCAGTTGTTGTTTGTCAAGTTATATAGAGCAGTTTAGCAAGTTCCTTGTACAAACGTCTTCACAAAATTAAGACGTCCCATGGTTGATTTCATTTAGGATCATTTGAATTGCTGATATATATTGAGTCTATGTGTTATCAGTATTTATATGTATTTTGTTTTGTTTCTATAATCAATGTTTGAAATGTATTTCAATTGAAACGAAAAAGAATTTAAATTTAATGAGCTTGTTAAAGTAAACTTGTGTGATCAGTATTGGTTATCATGTTATATGTATTTTGTTTTGTTTCTATTATCTAGTTTGAAACGTAGTTCGATTGAAACCAAAAAGAGTTTAAATTTAATGAATTTGTTAAAGTAAACTTGATAGGTTTTTGGTTGTTGTTTGAGTAATAATTTCTTATAAGACCTTGGTGGTTAATGGTTAGTCATTATGTTGGCTACTTACCACACTTTAAACTTTTGGCTATTAAGCCCCAACCTCTCTTCTATAGTCTCCACCATATACCTATAATTTCTACTGTAATCTTATCTGCTTTCTCTTCTAAAATATCTTCTCGGTTCTTATCGGTATGGATTCAAGGAATCCATACTTGAATCCAAATGGACGGTCTTCTAGTTATATAGGACTCCTTAACAGTCAACAAAAAATTGTTATCCCTGAAAACTTTCTTTATGAAAGTTTTCATTCTAGTGTCAACCTTGGAGAATCATAAACCCCCCCCCCCTATCAGTTCTCAACAACATGACCTGCCAACCCTACCTGTAGTCACACCAGTGCATCATCGTCGCCAGAAGTGGACGCCTGCTGATGACGAGGTTCTAATCAGTGCCTAGCTGAACACATCTAAGGATGTTGTTGTTGGTAATGAGCAAAATGCACGGACCTTCTGGAAATGAGTAGTGGAATATTACAAAGAAAGTCCTCACGCTAAAGAGGGTGGTGACAAGAGAGAGCATCTCCATTGTAAGCAGAGATGGCACAAGATCAATGATTTGACAAACAAGTTCTGTGGAGAGTCAAATCGGTTCTGGTCAAACGACACTGATGTCCTCAAGCTCGCTCATGAAATATTCTACTCTGATCAGAACATAAAGTTCAACCTTGAACATGCGTGGTGTGTGTTGAGACATGAGCAGAAATGGCTTAGCCTTAAGACACCTAAATCTGCCGGCAGTTCAAAGAGAAAAACTGGTACATCAGGTTCCCAAGCTTCAACTAGCAATGTTGGTGATCATGAGATGCGTCATGAAGGTGTCAAGGCTGCTAAAGCTAAAAGGAACAATGGTCAGAGAAAATCTAGGGCTGACTATGCGACCATTTGGGAAATGAAGAAGGAGGACTTGTCGATGAAGGAGAAACTGTCAAAGCTTGCAATTTTAGACACTCTCCTGGCAAAAAAAAAACACTTTTTGAGGCTGAAAAAGTGGTGAAGAATAAGCTATTTTATCTATGTCATAAAAGTCTGTTTTAACTGGTTTGGATTATGTTTTAAGTAGTTTGCATTCTGCTTCTATTATCTAGTTTAAATTTTGTTCTAAGTTGTTGAATATACTTCCTATTGGTATTAATCAATCAGTTATGCTAAAACTACCTATGTCTTTAAATTCTGTCTTTACATTTTGCCTTTAAATTCTGTTTCTGTTTTAAAAATTATGTTTATGTTTTAAACATTCCTCTATGATTATTAATGAATCACTTATGCTAATTCTGTTTTTCTTGCAGGTTAAGTTAAACATGAGACTTGATTACAGCTACAGCCAGCCGAGTGAATCAGAGGAGTATGGTTTCACCAGATAAGATAGTGAGTACAGCGAGACAGAAGATCTTATTCGGCAGGACCAAGCTGAGTTAAGCTACACCCACCAAGATCCGGTTCATTATCCTCCTCAACCCGAGGTTGAGTTCGGTTTCCCACAAACATGCTACTGTGGTGCTCGACCTCTTCTAGAAACATCTCACAGTATAAATGATCCAGGTAGAAGATACTACACTTGTGCGAATGCTGATGATGGAGACTGTCATGTTTGGAAGTGGTGGGACGTGGCCGTTATGGAGGAGATGAGAGTCAGGGATATTCACAACCTTCAGTTGGCTGAAAAGATGTTGTGACCTTTGAGACTGTTTGGGGGAATTTAACATTCTCAAGATGTTGTGACCTTTGAGACCGTTTGGGAGAATTTCTTTTTCTTTCATGAGCTCGATGTAATGTCTTCATTCGAGAGTTCCATGTCTCTCAAAACATTTATCTTCTGGATTTAATATAAGAAAGTATACTCAATAATTAAATATGCCTATAAAACATGTTCTTCAAATGAAAAAAAATGAAAAAGAAACTGTATATATAGGCCTGTGTCAAAGAGAATAAAACAGCATTGTTCAAAGCAAAAGCAAACGACTCATTGCCATTCCTAAGAGTCATCAAGCCAAAATACAAAAACAGTCGAAGAATTCGTAAGATTCGCATGGAAATGTAAGCTCATCGACACACTCAATCTTACCCCAAATCTCACGTCCATTGCTACTTCTTTCCAAAGAAATCTTAGCATACCAAATCTTGTTTTCCCGTTGGATATCATCAGAATATCCCCACATAACCATAAGCTTCCCACCATAGTCCTCCACTGCATACTTACTTGCACTTCTTAGACCCATCGTACAGTCATCTCGCAATCTTTGCAAACCCTTGACTTCTCTCCATTCTCTACCCTCGTCCTCAGGGTCACACCAGATTAAGTCTCCATCGCAAGTGCAACAGTATATTACATCATTTATCCAACTTGAAGCCACTACTTCGTTGTAGTGGTCTATGGAATCTGATTGCCCTTTTAAAAGTTTCCATGTACCATCCTTCGTCGGCTCGTACGTGTACTCCCTTCCATTTATCATTACGAAAAACTTTTCGTCTATCACATTAACTAAATCATAATTATTTTCTGCTAAAAGAATGCGTAACTCATCATTATCAGCACCAGGCCCCGGCAAGACTGTCCAAGACTGAGTCTCCATATCAAACACCTCAAACCATCTAGAAGAGCACTCGTCAATATTACAACCTCCCATCACATATATTTTATCATCGTTACTAAAAACGCATGGATCCTCCCGTGCCACGGTCATGTTAGGGCCGTTACGCCAAGTATGACTCCGACAATCAAGGATCCAAACAGAGGAAGAGGGCTCGTCGCAGGGCCCACCGATTATGTAGATTTCATGACCAACCGTTGTGGACTGACTTGTTATTTGAGGAGAATGGATAGGTATCGGAATAACTGAGTTTCCAGCTGGATCCTTCTTAAACCTAATCTTTCCTCGCTGTTTGGTTAGGGTTTGATTATTAGGTTTCGCCCAAATCATAAACCAGCTCGGATATGGTTGATTGTGTAACCGTAAGCAGACATATACGCATGTTTCTTCGGTTCCGATTTGAGAACGTGTCTTATAGATTTCCATAGAAGATAAGATAGAGTGGAAACTCTTTGAGACGAGAGAAAGCGAAGGATAGTTCCATCTCGAAACACGTGCAAGAATGTTTTCTGTGATTTCATCTGGAAGTGAAGAAAACGATGGCAGTGGCTGAGATATCTTTTTACGCTTTGGCTCAACTTCTTCGAAGGTCATGATCATGGTCGCTGCTGTGGAGAAAAAACAAATGATCAAATTTTTAGGGTTTATTAGATCACGATTAGGTCTGTATAAAATTTAACGCATAAATATTGTTTGCTATTTAACTATTATTTTTATTGTCTATAAATAAATAATAAGGGTTACATTTACAATCATAAAAATACAGGAAAATTTCTTAAAAATACCCCCCAACTAAATTTCGTTAAACTTTTTGATACTCATATTTATTCGCTACTCAGTTTAATATCTTAATTAATTATTTTTTCCATTTTAATACAAAATTTTATAAATATGTCCATTTTAATACACAAAATTTGTTTATTTAGTAAAAAATAGTAATAAGTTTCAAATAAAATTTTAAAAATCTCTATACTTTACAGAAAATTCTAATTTTATTCGTGTTTTCTAAAGAAAAGTAAATAATTGTTTCTTACAATCTTAAATTTTGTAATATTTTTTTTTTTAAGTTCTAGATATTGAATTTATTTTGTTTTCTAAAATAAAAAATAAATTAATTTGTTTTCCTTCAAAATTAATTTTACTAAAATTTTAATTTTTCTCCCTAGTTTATTTACCTTCTTTCTTAAATTTTCAAGTAAAATTAGAAATTTTTAAATATTTGTTTAAGATTTTAGAGATTTTTATAATTTCGTTTGAAATTTATTAGTATTATTAATTAAAATAAACAAAATTTGGGTACTAAAATAAGCAAGTTTATGTATTAAGATGAGCAAAATAATTAGTTAATGTATTAAACTGGATATCGAAAAAAAATAAGTATTAGAAAGTTTAACAAAATTTTAGTTGGGTATTTTTATTAATTTTTCTCAACCAAAAAAAAATCTGAAGCTAAATATACATGCTCTCTGTCAAAATGAGGCCCATTTAATTAACTTTAGGCCCAATAACGACGGAGCCTTCTAGGTTCAATCCTTGTCTGTCTACTCATCATCCCGAAAAGACCAAACACACACAACATTACATTTGAACCACTAAAAAACACACTTATCTATCTTTCACACACACACACACACACACACAAAATGGCGACTTCTCTCTCCGTCTCCAGACTCCTCTCTTCCTCCGCCTTCTCCGTCACCAAACCCCTCCTCTCCCCATCCTCCGCCACCTTCACCTCCCCACTCTCCTTCTCCCGCTCTCTCTCCCCAAACCTCTCCCTCAAATCCCCCACCCGCCGCACCTCCACCATCTCCTCCTCCTTCTCAACAACCATCTCCGCCTCCATCTCCGTCGGAGACAAACTCCCAGACTCCACCCTCTCCTACCTCGACCCCGCCACCAACGACGTCAAAACCGTCACCGTCTCCTCCCTCACCGCCGGTAAAAAAACCATCCTCTTCGCCGTCCCGGGAGCCTTCACACCCACCTGCTCTCAGAAACACGTCCCTGGATTCGTCTCCAAGGCCGGGGAGCTCAGATCTAAGGGCGTTGACGTTATTGCCTGCGTCTCGGTGAACGATGCCTTTGTGATGGAGGCGTGGAGGAAGGATCTTGGGGTTGGGGATGAGGTGATGTTGTTGTCGGATGGGAATGGGGAGTTTACGGGGAAGCTTGGTGTGGAGTTGGATTTGAGGGATAAGCCTGTGGGACTTGGTGTTAGGTCGAGGAGGTATGCGATTTTGGCCGAGGATGGGGTTGTGAAGGTGTTGAATCTTGAGGAAGGTGGGGCTTTTACTAACTCTAGTGCTGAGGATATGCTTAAAGCTCTTTGATTCGGATTTGTCTTCTCTGTTTTACTTTTCGTTTGAAAACTTTCGGATTCTGTGTATCTTGGCATCGGATCTGTAATGGAATAATACATCGGAATCGTTTTTTTTGTTTTGTGAACAGTCGGAAGCGTTGAATAATTTGGGTGTTACTCTATTTACGTGTGTTTGACATTTCACTATTTGATTGATAAGTTCCATCTTGAGAAAGATGCCAAGACAAAAGTTTGTGCTAGGTCTCTTTAATAGACTCTTAGCACAAAAGGATTTGGTCTCAACATGAACAATTTAGCTTGTTTTTACGTATATACACAGTGACATTTGTTTTTGTATTTCACTTGATTTCATAATATGGTTCTGTGGATAGTGGAGAGACCCAAAAGTCGTGACTTTGGGAAATGACGTTTGGGTTGGTAGCTAACCACGAGTGAAGTTTGGAAGAGATAGTCTTCCGTATAAATTGAATCACATCCATCAAACTAGTAATCATATATTGAATCACATCAATCATATTCTGAATTGAAATCCACAACTCATTATAATCAAACTAGTAATCAATGAGGAACATAAACAATTGACAACTATATCAAACTAACACTTTCTTCCCATCTAGTAATCTGAGAGGAGACCGAAAAAAAAAAGCACAATCGTGTATCTATAGAGAGAGAGAGCTTCACTCCAATTGATGGAACTAGCCCTGTCAAACTAACACTTTCTTCCCATCTCTGTCGGTTTTCGATTAACCGAGATTTTTAAAATTGGTTTGGTTATCGGTCATTTTTTTGTATTTCCAGTTTTTTAGTTTTCAGTTAATTTTGGCATAATTTTTCAAAATAAATTAGATATTTTCGATTAAATTCAGTTATTTCGAATAAATGCAGTTATTTTTTGGATTTTTCAGTTAAATACGTTTCGTTTTTCGGTTTTATTTTCTGTTTTCTTATATTTTTTTAAAAAAAACAAAATATTCAAAAACCAAACCGATAAGGCGATAACCAAACCAATTTTGAAAACCATTCCAATCTAAACCGCAGGCCTAGATGGAACGATCATGTGCTAGCTGCTCTCTCTGTATGTTATCGTGATTCACATAAAACAGTAGGGTGGGGGTTACTTACAGTCGTTAAATAAAATTGACAGGTGAAACTTGCATTAAACCGAAAATATCTACATCAAAAAATGAATAAAAAGGGAGCGAACTACGACTTTTGTTTCTCTCTTTTTTTCTTTTTATAACGAAAGATTCCGACAGTCAATCTCAATCGCATAAAGTAAAATCAAACCAAACCAAACACCTCACACACCTTTCTCCTCCTCTCCTCCCCCTTTCCCCGTCGATCATCTGAGATCTCTCTAACTACTCTCCTCCGTCACATAAAAATGCATTCGAGTCATCTCCTTCTCGAGGAGCCAATCAGGATGGCTTCAATCCTCGAACCATCCAAATCCGTAAGTCATCAACTGATCTATTAAGTTTTGGTTTTTATCAGTCAGAGTGTTTCTAATCTCTCTTTTGAATCTATAATATTCCTCAGAGTTTCTTCCCGGCATTAACTAAGATTGTCGGAACTCTCGGTCCCAAATCCAGATCCGTTGAGATACTCTCTGGCTGTCTTAAATCCGGCATGTCTGGTAATAATAACCGACATAGTTTAATCGAACATGATTTTTTTTTTTTTTTTTTTTCACTAAACACTTTGCAAATCTACAGTGGCTCGATTTGATTTCTCTTGGGGAGACGCTGAGTATCATCAAGAGACGCTTGATAATCTCAAAGTTGCTGTCAAGAGCACCAAGAAGCTTTGTGCTGTATGTTCTCTCTTTTAGTGAATCAGTTGATTGTGATCTTTTTTGCAATATAGTTTAGTTGAGATGTGTTTTTGGTTGCTTAGGTTATGCTTGATACAGTGGGACCTGAGCTTCAAGTTATTAACAAGTCTGAGAAAGCTATTACTCTTAAAGCTGATGGTCTTGTTACTTTGACTCCTAATCAAGATCAAGAAGCTTCTTCTGAAGTTCTTCCCATTAACTTTAATGGCCTTGCCAAGGTTCGTTTTATATATATAATCAATGGCGTAGTCTTTACTTGTTTAGTTGTGTGATGGGAGTTGCTTGTTTTGTTGGGTGTCAGGCAGTGAAGAAAGGAGACACTATCTTTGTTGGGCAATACCTGTTCACTGGTAGTGAAACAACTTCAGTTTGGCTTGAGGTAAATTATTGAAAAACCGAAGGTTGCAAATGTGAGCTTTGGTGGTTTCTCTCTCTAGGTTGAAGTTTTTAGACTAACCTACCAAACAAATATGAAGGTTGATGAAGTTAAAGGAGATGATGTCATTTGTCTTTCAAGGAATGCTGCTACTTTGGCTGGTTCTCTGTTTACATTGCACGCCTCTCAAGTTCACATTGATCTGCCAACTCTTACGGTGAAAGATAAAGAGGTCCATAGTTGCTTCAACTCTACAAATCTTAGTGATTGCTGTTGTCTCTTGTTGTTACACATTCTTGGTTTTAGTTCGATTGTCTAACCAGGTTTTGGTTGTCATGTAAGGTTATAAGCACATGGGGAGTTCAAAACAAGATCGATTTTCTCTCGTTGTCCTATTGTCGACATGCAGAGGATGTTCGCCAGGTCCGTACTTTTACGTTACTGTGTTACTTCTTTATGTAAGTATGTGCTTTCTATGTACTTCTTTGAACAATAACCAATTGTTGTTTCATAACACAGACCCGAGAAATGCTTAAAAAGTTGGGTGACCTCTCTCAAACACAAATATTTGCCAAGATTGAGAATGTTGAGGTAAGTATTGATTTTTTTTTGCATTATACTATGTCTCTGAAACTTTTTCCTGAGAAAGTTGTTGATATTTAATTTAATATAGGGACTAACCCACTTTGATGAGATTCTACAAGAAGCTGATGGAATTATTCTTTCTCGTGGGAACTTGGGTATTGATCTACCCCCAGAGAAGGTATGTTGGTTTTGTCATTCAAATTGTTTTTTTTTCTGACACCAAACTTTACACTCTTTTGTAATTTAACTTGGTGAGTTCTTGTACAGGTGTTTTTGTTTCAAAAGGCGGCTCTTTACAAGTGCAACATGGCTGGAAAGCCAGCCGTTCTTACACGTGTTGTTGATAGTATGACTGATAACTTGCGACCAACTCGTGCAGAGGCAACAGATGTTGCTAATGCTGTTTTAGATGGTATGTTTTATGCTTCTTTTCTGGTGCGTCTAATGTTTTATAGCAGAAGGTAATAGGTTTTTTTTTTTAATTTCCAATTTACTCGTCCTGCAGGAAGTGATGCAATTCTTCTCGGTGCTGAGACCCTTCGCGGTCTGTACCCTGTCGAAACCATATCAACTGTTGGAAGGATCTGTGCTGAGGCAGAGAAGGTTTTCAATCAAGATTTGTACTTTAAGAAGACTGTCAAGTATGTTGGAGAGCCGATGACCCACCTTGAATCCATTGCTTCTTCAGCTGTAAGTTTGTCTTCTGTGTTGCAGAGACATAAAGAAAGTATTAGTTTTCTGGTTTTAAGACCATCACAGTTCTTAATCTATAGCTTAATTAACACTTGATCAGGTAAGGGCAGCAATCAAGGTTAAGGCATCAGTCATTATATGCTTTACCTCTTCTGGAAGAGCAGCCAGGTTCATAGCATTCTTTTTCTTAAAACAAAATTTTGTTTGTTCTATTCATCTTTTTCTAATGAATTGCTATTTCTTTGATCTCCGTGCAGGTTGATTGCCAAATACAGGCCAACAATGCCGGTTATTTCTGTAGTCATTCCCCGGGTTAAGACAAATCAGCTGAAATGGAGCTTTAGTGGAGCCTTTGAGGTATGTATGATCTCTCAAGTTTAGAAACCATAGCGCTGCCATACTCTTATAAAGTTGCTGGTTTTCAAATAGACTCGATAGATTTGATAGTTTAAGGTTATTAACCCGTGTGACTCTTCTCAGGCAAGGCAGTCACTTATTGTCAGAGGCCTTTTCCCCATGCTTGCTGACCCACGTCACCCTGTAAGTCTTGTTTATCTTCTTTTCTTTTTGCATGTTATCTCTTCCTTTCTATTGGATAAACAAATATCAAATGTGTACAAATATGATACTCTTTAAGACCAAGATTGTTGGTTATTGTTGCTACGGATTGTGCATAAATCTTCAGAGTTTGATGTTAGAATTGAACCAAATGGTGACATGTCAGAGTCTCAAACAAGTCTTTTAGGAGTTTTAGTTCGAACTTTTTTGGTTCAGTTTCTAACATGTGTTGTTGCAGGCGGAATCAACAAGTGCCACGAACGAGTCAGTCCTGAAGGTTGCGCTAGACCATGGTAAACAAGCAGGAGTGATAAAGTCGCATGACAGAGTAGTGGTGTGTCAGAAAGTTGGTGATTCATCTGTGGTCAAGATCATCGAGCTCGAGGATTGATTGATAAAATGGGAGAAAAAAAAATTGCTATAATCGTTTTGCTGCGGCGCTGGAGTGAGTATTCAGGAGATTTGATGTCTCTAATGTTTCCCATTTTTCTTGGCTAATACATTTGGTTGCCTTCAGATTTAAGCTACGGTAAAGGAAAAAAATACACCATGTCTAGCAATTATTCAATAAGCTTGTAACATCCTCATGTGTGTTTATATGTTACAAAAAATTCTACGAGTAATTTACGTTAAACAATAGAAGATCCAAAAGATTAAATTGTTGGTTTTGAAATTGAAAAGAAAACTAGGGCTTTTAACCATAATCCCATATTATAAATGTTTTTAGAGGGCATGAATACATGATCGTTTCACAATTTTTTAGAAATTAGTATACCAAGGTTGTTCTTATAGTTTATGTTGTAATTTATTATCAAACAATACGTATGGTAGCATGCCATTGCCATACACAAACTTCCAAACAAGTACTATTATATATAGTCATATTACATCACCCAGTCATATTGTTTTGCATAAATTATTTTTAGCTCCACTTAATTAATCTATAATGGTCGCTTTCAATTTTGATATTAATTGGCCAAGCATGCTAAACATCAGGGGACCAACATTTTGTGGTCGGCTGGACATTTTAGTCGGGATTTTTTTCTTCACTGTCTAGAAAAAGATAGTCATTCACGCTCCATCATGACTTGTCTTTGATTCCTTTTCTCGAACTCTCCTATCAGATGATCGTGTCGGAGAGTGATTACGATGCTCTCAAACTTTACAACAACACGTTGTAAATTATAATCAAATCAAACGGTCTCATAAGTCTTTACATTTATGTTGATCTTGATCCCAGTATTAACCACGTGTAGTAAATAGATATCACAAAACTAAAAAAGACCCTACAGGCGATATAAAATAAGTTTGGAAACTAACTGATAGTCTCAAAACTTATTTTGTATCGCCTATATATATATATATATATATTTTTTTTTTTTTTTTTTTTGTAAGAAACTTATTGATATACTAGTTCTACGCTAGACTGCTAGTTAGCATCTCAAATGTTTGTTTATAAGAACTGGAATATACTTTTTTTTTGGACTGAAGAGTTGGAATATATATTTCATCGCCTTCTTTAGTTGGACTTTTCAGATTTACGCGATAAGATGAAAACGTATTAGAGTTTATAAGTTATAACCTTTGTGATATGATATTTTGACAACTGATTCCTAATTACTGTTGCAGATTTATAAAATGCTAACTAATGATTGTGTAGTTCTATAATACTCCATATGTTTTATATTATTATATGATATGTTTTGCATCAATACATTATAAAAAATATATATTTTTGAAAAGATTATCATAAATTATAACTTAAAACATATTTTTATTTAGAAATAAAAATAATAATTGGCTTTACAGTTTTTGATAAAATAAAACTATCTAGATATGTACAAACATTTTATATTATGAAACCATTGAAAACATTATATATTAAAACGTAGGGAGAATAGTTTTATAGATATTTATCTTCCTTATTTTGAGTACAACTAAAAAAATATTTAACTATATTTTTATTTGACTAATGAAATTTAATAATATATATTATTTTTACCAAATTAGTTAAAAGTAAAAGGATAAATAAAGTTGTTAATTATAGGACGATATAGTATTTTAACAACTAGGTGTTGTGCCCGCATATGCGGGTATAATTTTCTTACGAATATTTCTTATTTGTTATTTTATTAATTTTAAAATAATATTATAAGTTATTTTTTATAGTTTTAAAAAACCTAAATCAAACATGAAAATATTTTTATATGAATTGTCATCAAAATCTATATGCTTATTATAGTGTTGAAAAAAATCCACATAATAAAATATTTTTGAAAATATATTTATATTTTTTTAATATTTAATTTTAAATTGTTTTATAACTTGAATTTTTATTTTTCATAGTAAAAAATATTATTTCCAGATAATTGTATAATAAGTTAATTTATAATAAATTAACGAATATAATAACATATAAATTTCTATCACTAACATAAAATTCGCTTTTAACTAATTTATATATAAGTATATAAATTTCATTAAAGGTATCATTAACTTGAACCGTTCCAAATTTTAATATCTAATATTTAATTATATAAATAAAGGTATCTTTATACAAATGTTTTTGTTTAATTAATATTTAATTAAAATCGATTTTTAAATTTAAATTTTTAAATTTTAGAATAGAATGATATTATTTTCCCAAGCCAAAATCAATTATATATAAAATTAAGATATATAAACATTATCATGTTGTTACAATATTATATTCAGATGATAATAACATATATAAGAATTATCTTATTTTTGATTTTTTATAAACTTATTATATTAATTATTCTAAGTTATCTAAGATAATAACATACTAATCTAATTTTATTTTTTTAATTTCGTTTTTAATTATAAAATGAGTTATATATAAAAGTTTCATTAAAGGTATAATCGATATTAACCACTCCAACTTTTAACGTGAGAGCTCCGTTGCGAAAAATCACTTCGCAAATAATAGTATAGATTTTGCAAAAACAAAAAAAAATTGACAAAAGCGTATTCTTATATTAATCAACTACATATAAAACAAAAGAATTTAATTATTTTATTCGTAGACAAGTTTGTGGTAATTAAAAGGAAAAATGGTCAAGACTCAAGAGACGAGCATGAATAAACTAGTAGCAGGTGGCAACTAATTGAGAGACGAACATTAATAAGTGTAAGTGAAAACGCGTAGCTCTCATTAGGGGTGGGCGCGGATCGGATATCCGGATTTTTCAAGGTATTTGTGATTTGCTTCGAATGTTACGGATATCTAATTTTGGTATTTGCTTTGCTTCGAAAAAATACGGATATCCGGAAAAACGGATATCCAGAAAATAAGTAAATATTTGCGGATATTTGCGAATATTTACGGATATCTAATCCATATTGATTAATACAACTAATCTTAAAATTTTGATATAAATTTGCTTTGCAAAAATATTTTTTTTGCGTGATATATAAAATAAAAATTAAAAGAACTAGTGAATTTACACATTTTGGAATTTTTGAAGTTTAAGTTGCAATTATAATAACACAAAAGTTAAGAACAAAAAATATAATTGTCATAATTGTTTTTCTTTTTTTATGTAATACATTTATATAAGTAATAATGTGAATAGAATTGTTCAAAATCATGTGTTAGAATAATAATTTTATAATTTTATACATTTAAAATTTTAAATATAATCAATATATACATATATTTATATATTTCCGGATCGGATCGGATATCTGTTTCCCAAAATTTTAATATTTGTGATTTGCTTTGACTTTAACGGATATTGATTTTTAGTATTTGCTTTGATTCGGAAGTTTACGAATATCCGGAATTTTCGGATCGAATCGAAACGAATAACGAATCGAATCAAATTTAACGGATAAAATGCCCAGCCCTAGCTCTCATGTCGTCTACTAAGAGTTAATGCATTCCACATCCATGCATTAATTGGAGATTAATGATAAACAAAATTTGGAAAGAGAGCTAGTTATCTTTTCGCCTATAAATATGTCATTGTTTTTTTGTTAAAGGATTTTCATATAAATATGTCATTGTTAGAACATCCTAAACGTATTATTTAAGAAAATTTAAACAAAGAACAATAAAGCTTAAAATCTTACTTAAAAATTAAGCTTGCGCCAAGAAACCATTTACAAAACTTCATCACTTTGATAAACAGAGATAATCCAATAATCTTTGCTGTAGTTTTGTTAAATGGTTGATCGATCAACAAGTTTTTAAAATATTAAAAAGTTGTGCTCAGCGAACATATTACAAAATTTCGAACCTTACATATATACGAGTAGATTCCGACACAAGTCACACAACCTAAGATTAGTTATTTTTTTGAAACGTAACTATAAGTATGTGAGTTTAGTCAAAAAAAAAAAAAAAACTATACGTATGTGAGTTGGTAGTGACTTTTCCACCTATAAAACGAAGTCTCACTTGATTAAAGATGAAAAATCAATTGTAAAAGTCATGGTATGGTAAAGTTCATGAACAGACTATAAGTATTGTTAACTTAAAAATATTTTATAACCTAAATTAATATAATACATAATATACATCTACAATTTTGATAAATTCATTTAATAGTTTCCAATGGGACTTTTTAGCACATTGAGGTGGTTGCTTCAGTTGATCTTTTTTTTTTTTTTTTGTCAAACGTTGCTTCAGTTGATCCAAAAAAAAAAAAAGAAAGGTGGTTGCTTCATTGCATTAGTAAAAAATGCGAGGTCAGAAACTTAGAAATGGTCACTAGATTTGACGAGAATATAATACTAGTAAACTTTCAAAAAAAAAACTTCTTTATATTTAACTTTAGGAAGAATATTTATGTTGGACTGACATAATAACAGTTCACATTCTCCCTTTGCTTTACACCAAATCAAACAGACTTTTTCAAAACCGTTCGGCGCCGCCACGTGGCGACAATAACCCTTTCGTTGCTCTTAAACTTATTTATGTTAGTCCTTTTCTTTATTTATTAAAGTCATAAATATCTTTCCCTCACTTTCTCCGTTTCTCGCCTCTCCCCCCAAAGATTTTCCGAGAAAATTCGCCAGACTCAGAAAGAGAAAAACATCAATACATATTTATCGTGTCCACGCGTATTGCGTTTTCTTTTGATATATATATAAACCGTTACGAAGATTGTGTTAGTTAGGTCAACTATGGGCTCGTCCTTGTCGAATCTCACCGACAATGAAACGGACGATCCCTCCATGGGACCAAGCCTCGGAGACATACCCGAAGCCTGCATCGCCACCGTCTTCATGCACCTAACTCCCCCCGAGATTTGCAATTTAGCCGGTCTTAACCGCTCGTTTCGCGGCGCGGCGTCGTCGGATTCCGTCTGGGAGAAGAAGCTTCCGGTGAATTATCAGGATCTGCTCGATTTGTTGCCGCCGGAGAGGTATCTTGGTTTGTCGAAGAAGGATGTCTTCGCTGTGCTCTCTCGTCCTATCCCCTTTGATGATGATAATAAGGTTTGGAGTTTGGATTTTGGATTTGGATTTGGGGATTTAATTAGGGTTTTAATGTGATGATAATAAGGTTTGTTTAAATTTGAATTTGGAATTTGGGGATTTAATTAGGGTTTTAATGTGATTATAATAAGGTTTGTTTGAATTTGGATTTTGAATTGGGGATTTAATTAGGGTTTTAATGTGATGATAATAAGGTAGTTTGAATTTGAATTGGATTTGGGGACTAATTAGGGTTTTAATGTGATGATAATAAGGTAGTTTAAATTTGAATTTGGAATTGGGAGATTAATTAGGGTTTTAATGTGATGATAAGGTAGTTTGAATTTGAATTTGGAATTGGGGATTTAATAGGGTTTTAATGTGATTATAATAAGGTAGTTTGAATTTGATTTTGGAATTGGGGATTTAATTAGGGTTTTAATGTGATTATAATAAGGTTTGTTTGAATTTGGATTTTGAATTGGGGATTTAATTAGGGTTTTAATGTGATGATAATAAGGTAGTTTGAATTTGAATTGGATTTGGGGACTAATTAGGGTTTTAATGTGATGATAATAAGGTAGTTTGAATTTGAATTTGGAATTGGGAGATTAATTAGGGTTTTAATGTGATGATAAGGTAGTTTGAATTTGAATTTGGAATTGGGGATTTAATAGGGTTTTAATGTGATTATAATAAGGTAGTTTGAATTTGATTTTGGAATTGGGGATTAATGTGATGATAATAAGGTAGTTTGAATTTGGAATTGGGGATTTAATTAGGGTTTAATGTGATGAGATGATAAAGTTTGTGTTTTTTTTTTGTTGGCAGGAGCTGTGGATTGATAGAGTAACGGGACGGGTTTGTATGGCGGTTTCTGCGAGAGGGATGGCTATTACTGGGATTGAAGACAGGAGATATTGGAGTTGGGTTCCTACTGATGAATCTAGGTATTACACTTTTTTGCTGAATTTTGAATTTTCTTAATACAGTTTTTTTAGAAGATTTGATGTCAAGATCATTGCTTTACTTTGGTTTGTGGTCATAATGTCATTTGACCTGAATAGTACTTGAAAAGTTTGCGTGAGGATTGGTGTTTGATTAGTGTGGTCTGTTTCTCTTTGTTTGTGATTGTGACTCTGCTTTTGTGTGTTTGATGAATATAGTTATTATAGACTATTGAGTGTTCTTGCATGATCTTTTTTATTCACCAAAGAAAAAGTTTTGAACTTTCTGTGGTGAAGCATGTGAATATTGACATTGTGATCGTCTTGAGGCATACAACTTTTGCTCGATATAAACGATGTATTGTTTTGTTTTTTTTTTGGGGAAAAATAATGTAAAAATCTGTTTTTTTAATCTTGCATTGAACAGGTTCCATGTGGTAGCCTACTTACAGCAGATTTGGTGGTTTGAAGTTGATGGGACAGTGACATTCCATCTCCCACCTGGTATCTACTCTCTATCATTCAGAATCCATCTAGGCGGGTTCGCAAAAAAGTCAGGGAGACGCGTGTGCAACTACGAACACACTCACGGTTGGGATTTGAAGCCGGTAAGGTTTTCACTTTCAACCTCTGATGGTCAAGAAGCATCATGTGAATACTACTTGGACGATGTAAAGAGAGAAGAATCACACGGCCACCACAAGCGCGGTTTCTGGATCGATTACAAGGTTGGGGAGTTCGTAGTGACTGGAACAGAACCATTTACCGAGATCAAATGGTCCATGAAACAGATTGATTGCACTCACTCAAAAGGCGGTCTATGTGTTGATTCAGTCTTCATTAACCCAATTGGTGATTTGCAAGATTACAGAAAAAAATCATTTTGTGAAATTGATTGAAAGGTAACTTCCATTTTTATCGTTGTGCATTTGCATCGAGTTTTGTTTTTGTTTATTACAAAAATTCATTTTGTTACATAGTTTAGGCGAGAGAACTCTCTTTGTGCATTCCCATGTTTATAAGGTTGTATCATCCAACCAAAGTTATCTATAAGTACATTCTGTGTATGACCACCAGTTTTAATTATGTTTTGTCTTGTACTTTTCTTTTTTTTAATCATATCCAGTGATATGATCGAATCATTTCAAGCTGTATTCCCTAAATATCATAAACAAGTATCCAAAAAATTTTCAATGTAGGTCCAATGATAGTACTATAAAAAGAACAGCGAAAAAAGAACAAAGACAGAAATGCCAGAGAGTGGTTTGGCTGAATTGGGAATGGCCAAGAAGGCATCAACCATCATCTGACCAAGCCGGACCTGAGAAGACGTGGTCAGATGGAGGCCGTCCGGTTCAAGAGGTAGGCCCTTTGCGTCAACACAATGCACGTTGTCAAGACCTGTCTCCAGTTGTGCTTTTCTTACCGCGTCAAGGTATGGTCCTGCGCCTGTAGCAAGAGCCACCTTTTGTTGTTCATTGTTCAAACCAACAAAGAGACACAGAAAGATATTAGAAGAATGTATAGTAGTATCAACTATATGTATATTCTAATTTTTGTTTTTTGGAGAAGACCCAAAAGAAAGTCAAATTGAAATACTACAGCTGGATTGGTTCAGTATTTATTGCTACAGCCTGGATTAGTACCATGAATAATCACTAAAATATACCAAAAGATATCTAAAAAGAATTGCTTATAGTGGCATGCATTACCATTAAGTACCAGTAATTCATCAAGATTTCTGATAAAAAATAATTGTTTTTATCATCATGATTTGGTAATTTTATCTAAGACGGGTATCCTCAACACAACTCCATTTTTTACATCAAAATGGAATAAAAAATGTTTCAACCCCACTTTATTTTTTTACTTCATGAGATTTATTCTAAATGGAGTAATCTATATTTTTTTTTCACTATTCCATTATGGAATTAGAAATAGAGTGAGGATGAAACATTTTTATTTGATAATCATTTTTATTTTATTTTAAAGAAAAAAATGGAAATTTACATTGAAGATGCTCTAATATGGGTTAACATTTTTAATATTGAAAAAGTATTTGACCATTGTAAATTTGACAATTTTCATGAGAGTTTCAAAGGTGAGACTTTTTCATTTTTCTGTTTATTTCTATTTATTAAAAACTCATTAAGAGAATTGGAATCAGTACTGTAGTCTCGTAGAACTATTCTGCTATGTTATGTGATGCCCTTTAACTATTCTGCTATGTTGCGTATTACCAAGTAGAACTTTACTGCGATGCGAGGTTGCAATAAGGTTCTCTCTTCTTTGGCATATGCATAATCATGACTAGTCTAAGTGTAGGCTCTCTCTTTAAACTACTCTCTAAACATGTATGTGTCATGGTGTTAAAAGAAAAACATGTATGAGTCAAAACTCAAAAGTCATGACCATGTGCTTGCTACCTTACATTATATTTAAATAGAATGCTTTAATTAAAAGGAAAAAAAAAACACTTTAGTGCAACGTACCTGAATAATAGGAAGATTGGGATGTTGCAAATCATTTCGTAGATCACTGAAAAACTGAACTAGTCTCTTTTTATAAACTGAAGCATCCACCATATCCACCGTATCCGACTCACCCTGATACCACAAAACCGCCTCGTACGAGCCACCTCCACTAGCCACCTTTGCAGCTTTAGCTCTCTTCACCGTCTCCTCGTACAAAAACTCACCCTTTTGCCATTGGCTTAGTTTAGTCCCACCGATAGAGCACGGAACCAAACCCACATAACCAAAACGGTTAACCACCCGGTTAGCAAATGGCATCCCCGGTCCAACACCATTAGTCTTGTTAACGTCTATATCAGCGTGGAGTGGCTCGTTAGCTTCTTCCCATTGTAGCTTGGCTGTGAGACGGAGAATAGAAGGGTTTGATCTACACTCCCGTGGAATAACGCCGTCCCACACGGTTATGTTTTTGGCGGTGTCGTTATAAACGCCGCCTCGGCCGGCCATGTTGCTTTGACCGGCTAATATGAATATGCTGATGTTTCTTGGGATGGTTTGGGATTGGACTTGTAGTGGAGATATAATGAAAATGATGATGAAGAGGAGGAAGATCATCTTGTTCATTGTTTTTTTGGGAGGTCGAGATCGAGATCCAAATAAGAGTGAGAGTAAGATGCAAGAGAGAATAATAATGTTGTTTTCTTCTTATTATTTTTTTTTTTTCCAACTTATTTAATCAAGACGTCTTCTTTTTCAGTCTTTTTCTTTTCATACACAAAGAAGAATCATTTGTTTAATACCTTTTCATGCACAACTTGAATTATTAAAATGAAACTGATTTTGTACTCGATACTTACACCTAAAGATGACTTAAAACTTTTCTTGTTTAATAGCGTAGCATAACGGTAAAATCGTAACATATAATACTAGAGAATCATGTAATCTCGATAAAACCAAGAAGAATCATTCCAATGTCAAACCTTAAACCGAGATTTCCATCATAAAAAAAATAATTTGTATTTTGGAAGTCAATTATTTTTTTAGCATGTTCATGATTTTTTTTCTCAAGACCAACTATACCGAATCAAACCCAAAACTAACCAAAAATGAGTGGAAACTATGATTATAACCAGAGAGATTCAAGCTTTATGTCTATAACTTCATGGACCTTACTCTGTCTTAATCGCCACATGTTCAAATGATTCACATGTTTTTGTTTCTGACATATCTGTGATATTTCCAAGGCATTGTAAGTGTTTTTATGAGATAAAAACAATAACTGAAAACAAGGAGAAGCGGATGATGAGTGACTATCTATGCAAGGTGGCATGGGGAAAGAAATGATGTGTTATTCAATTTTATTGTTTTGGGTTTTGACAGAAAAATATTATATTGTTTTGGTTTATATATTTTTTGTTTTTAACGTGTACATAATTACTCGGTGTTTCTTATGTGGATATAATCAGTTTACAAATATTTATTGTATCTAATTATATAAAGTTTGGTTTTTCAAAGTATTAATTAACAAGATTGTGACACATGATAGTTATATATTTATGATTGTAACATGTGTTAAACTATTTTACAATTAATATATATATAGTTAATAACAAAAACGAATTTTGTTAAAAAATAGTTAGAAATATTATGTAATCTAATTATATAAATTTTGATTTTTTAAAGTTACTAATTAACAAGATTGTGACTCATGAAAATTATATATTTATGATTGTGACATGTGTTAAACTATTTTATAATTAATATATATATAAATAATAACAAAAATGAAATTTGTTAAAAAAAATAATTAGAAATATTATGTAATAGTAATTTTCCATTTTTAAAATCCTAAATAAAAGATATTTACAAATCAATATTTGATACTAATTTTCCATTTAATATTGTGACATGTATTAAATTCTCATGATTAAAAATATATAAACTAAGATAATAAAAATAATTTCAACAATATTAAATTTAAAAATTGTTTAAAAAGAAGCTAAAAGTTTTTAATTGTAGTTTTCCTTTTTACAAATCCTAAACACAAAGATGTAAAATAAAAAAAAAAAACTAATTTTGAAAATAATAATTTAAAATATTGTTTAACAGTAAAAAATAAAAATAAAGAGTGCTTAATTTTATTTTTACTTTTAAAAATCCAAAACAACAAACTATTCGTAAAATAGATTATTATCAATTTTATTTTCTAAAATCCTAAAAAATTATTATTTGATAGTAATTTTCATATTAGAATTTTATATATGTAAAAATATATCATATTAACAAAATATACATATGTAAGTTAATGTGCCTATTGTGATTTTGTGTGTTTGTTTTATAGACGCTATAAAATTAGTTATGCTATTTTTTTTTAAAAATTTCAAATTACTTATGTTGTTGTAGTTAAGTTAATGTCAATGCCATTTGTTACACTTATGTATCATTTTGTTTATGTCTGATTGTTAAATTATTAATTAAAAACCCTAACTGTAAAAATAGTAGTGATAGGAATTGTAAAATAGTAGTTAATAAAATATTTTATAGTATTCAAATAATTATCTGATAGTAGTCTAATTTTCGGTAATTCTAAATATAAGATAATTGTAAATGATTGTCTGATAGTAATCTTTATTTTCTAAAATCTTAAACAAAAACGTAAAATATTATCTGATATATTTTGTTTTTAAAGTTATAAATAAAAGAGTTTATAAAATATAATGTTTTCTTTTTTAAATCAAGAAAAAAGAAATTTTTTAAAAATATATATAATAGTAATTTGAAACAGAGAGATTATGATGATAAACATGATATTAAAACAATTTTATTAACTAAAAAAAATAAAAATAGGATTTTATCGTGATTGGTATTTATATGTGTTTAGTTATACAAAAACAAACACATTTTTGGTATATTTTTGTGTTTGGTCATAAAAATAGATTATTATTTTTATCAACGTAAAAGACTTTTATGTGTTTAGTCAAAAAGAAATCATATTTCATCGTCATCTTATTACATCTGTGTTTTAATATATAGAACTCTGATATATTTTATTAAACTGTTGTTATGAAATTATATCATTAAAATGAATTTAGAAAATTATTTAATAAGATAAAAACTTAATAAAATGACATAATTTTTAGTTGATAATGAGAAACAAGTAATTTGAAAATAATTATAAATTAAGTGCACATAGAAAAAATTACAAATTCAAAAACTGGAAAAACTGAAGAAATTGTTTGAAATACTATAACTTGAATACCATTTTTAATACTACACAAAAAACCCCATAACATATGAATTTAGGATTTAATGTGTAGATTTTAATATTTAAGGGATGAAACCAAGTTTATAAAATTATATAAAAATTCCAAATGATATATATGATATTAAATATCATATAAAATGAAATTAAAAGAATTTCTTAATTACTTTAAGATCGTCTTCTTCAACCTTATTACAATATATAATAAAATAATTTATTTTAAGATTTATCATCACAAATTAAGAAGTGACAATTGTATGATATTGTCATTGACTTGATTGACCTTATTTAACTTTCAATTTTTTTTATTTCTTTCACTCTAATTCTTAATTCGAACTGGATTTGATTTAAATTTTTAGGTATGAGTATTTTTTATGGCCTTAGGTACAAAGTTGAAAACAATTCACTTATGTGCCATGATTATTAAAATACAACAATATTTATGTGGGTGAACAAATTCTAAGTTCTGAAATAAATCTCACACAACATATACAAAAATAATCCTAAAATATAAAATAATTTATTATTTTATATCCTTTGTAAAATTAAAACATCAAATAAAATATGTGCTTATTAAAATATAAATAATAATCGCAACTCTTACAGAAAAACGAATTCGTAATTTCTAAAATAAATCTCACACAACATATACAAAAAATCATAAAACTATAAATAAAATCTATGCAACGCACGGACCCATATCTAGTATGTATTATAAATTCAAGATCATGATAAATAATTATTTATATTCTTAATTATTTTTGTCTAGATAATGATAATATTTTTTGGTTACTCAATAAAGAATATACATACTTATCTTCTTATTTTATAAATATTATTTTTATGTGGTGGAAATGTAGAGAATTATCATCATTAGGTTACACCAGAAGACTGTGCTCCCTTGAGAAGTAAATATTTACAATGTGGATTTTCCACTACTCTAATCTCTCACGTTAAAATTTAGAATAATTAATATATTGATATCTTTAATAAATAGTTATTGTTTATTCATTATTTTTAATTATAATATATACACATAGTTATCTTACTATTTCACAAACATTATGTAATGATATCAAAACACCATTATGTAATGAGACACAACAAATCTTGTTAAAGAACTCAATAATACATACATCAGGTAATAATCTTATATATTAAAATAGAAGTAACAACCTTTGATTCATGTGTGAAGTTTTTAAAAAATGGACAATTCCCTAGAAAGATTATCAAATATTACATAATTTAATGAAAGTATATTTTAATATCATTATCTTTCTATTTGAAGTACAAATGAAATTAATCCAACAAAATCTTTTTGGTATCTTTTTAAATTGTATTTTCGTAAATCACTGAATTTAAATTCTAATTATCATAAAATATTATTAAAATTATTATATTATTTATAAATGAAAATTTAAAATTATCTAAAATTTCTAATAATATTTTAATGACAATAATAATATAAACTAATGAAGTTTCAAAAATACCTATCTACAAATTTAAATAGATTATGTTTGAAACAAATAATGAAATTCTATTTCAAATATACAAATATAAATATTATATATTTATCTATCTACACTATTAAATAAATTCATGAGTCATTTCATGTGTAATTTTTTCTTGGACCATTCTTTAAAAAAATTATCAAATTTTACATAATTTAACTATAATATCACCCCTATATTTATCGTTTATTTGAAATACACATGTTTTTGTTTAGGAAATTAAAATTTATCTAGATAGGATGGACCATTCCTTAAAACAATTATCAAATTTTACATAATTTAATTATAATATCACCCCATATCTTTATATTTTATTTGATATACAATTTTTTTTTGTTTAAGAAATTAAAATTTATCTAGATAGCATTATATATTCCTAAAACCTAACGAACAAAATATATACTAGAGTTTGACCCACAAATGTTTTTCATTATATATATATAAAACTTTTATATCATTATAAAAATAAATATTTTATTTATATTTAATGTTATATAGTATATAACTCTATAATTTTGTTGTTTAAGTTTCTTATTCGTCATTATTAATATATAGTAATTTGTTTTATATTTTTTATTTTATATTATTATTAACTAGGGGAAGCCCGCGCTTCGCGTGGGATTTGGTATTTTAGCAAAAAAAAACTCAGTTGGTAATTGTTTTGTAAGTATAGTTGCGTATTCTCAATTTTCTTATCTTCAAATTTTTAGTTTACTTTAATTTTATTCTCCATTTTTAATTCTAAAATTGGAAAGACGGGACTAAACTTCCTATAAACGTGTGCCTTCACTTACACGTGCTTTAATTTATGACTGATCCTACTTTGAGTATTCTTTCTATTTTCGCGTTGACGGCTTCTGTGACGACGGTTTATGTTCTTTTGGAGCTGAGTTTCCTCTTTTTTACTTGATAGGTTTAAAAGTAGGGTCTACCTTTTAAATATTTTTATCATATTTTCTGTTACATTTATTTTTTGTGAGAAAATTCAACTTCGATTTCATTAAATTAACTAAGTTTTCTAATACAACTGTTGTAATTTATTGAATGAAGTTATGTTCTATTTTTATTATGTCGTTGTATATTTTTTTAGTTGTTTTTTTTTTGTAAATTTTCTAGTTTCAATTATTATTTGTTTCTTGTTGAGTTATTTTATATTAAGTCTCTCTTAACCTCTTGAAATATACATTTTATTTTTTGTATTAGTACTAAAAATATAATTAAGCTTTTTAAGTCAGTATGAAATTTTCTTTTTTTTTACAACTATAAGGATACAATAATCAAATATTTATTTTATCATTAAAAAAAAATTTAATGAATTTTTTTTTGAAAAATTAATCTATTTTTAGTTAGGTTACACTAACTTTCACAATGTTCTTATAACAACTTTTCACAATGTTCTTATAACAACTTTCATTATTCTGTTATTATTATTTTTGTAAATTATATATTTATTTATTTTGTTTTTGATATTATTCTTTTACCTTGATATTAATTAAAATGTAATTTTTAAGATTATAGTTGATTGAATTTAACACGAAATATAAATCTTTTTATACGTTTATTTCTTGAATTCAGAGATATTTTATTTATATATATCTTTAAATATATCTATATACATAATACAAAATGGTAGGTAATTAATTACGTTAGAAAAATATATTTTAAATTAGGTATACAACTTGAAAAGCTAATACTAATAGTTACTATATATAAATATAGATTTTTTAATTCTGCATATATTATTATAATTAATGTGAAAGTAAACCATCGTATTCGAAGTTATTGAAGAGAATTCATTGTTACTATCTAGGAAATTACTATATAGTACACTAAATTTTAATAGTTTTATTTATTTGATAGTATGAATGATTTATTATATTAAAAATGATTTATTAATTCATATTAATTCTTATTCTTAATAAATTATGTATTCTTTGTTATGTATGATTTACCATAAATATATTAAATGAATGATTTATTACTTCTTAATAAATTATGCCGTGTTTTATTTATGACACAAAATAATAATGACTGTTTATGTCGATTTTAGTTTAATTAAATGTATGTAAATTAGAAATTATGTATGTGTTCATGTTTGTTTCAGTTTATTCACATGTTTTAAGATTATAAATTACGTATAGCTTTTATTATTTACAATCAATTTATCTGTTAAAATAAATACTAAAATGACATATATGTAAATATAGATATTAATATTGATTAATGAAATAATCTAAATACTTGATAATTTTAAAATTGTAAGCATATTTGTATAACCAAGATATAAATGTTATTATCTGTTAAATTTTGTTAAAATAATTATTTGTAATTTACAATCTACAATTGATTTATTTTAAATTAACTTTAATTATAAATATTTATGGACTATTTAATATTGTGTTAATATATTTAATTCAAATAATAAGAATTATAAATATTTAGAAGTATTCATTAATAATAAAAAATTACACTTATGTGTCAAGAAGGAGAAAACTCTTAATATTCTTCCATATGGCAACTTCTTGTGAATCGACATAACTTTCTTAAGTTTAATTTATACAATCACGGATCTTAGTGTTCTTGGAAAAATGTATAGTGGCCGGATACTGTCTAGTGGGGAGCTCTATTACCGGAGGTGCTTCCACTCGCAAAGTTGCACTCATCAATATAAGTTTAAGCGGCGAGATGGTTCCGTTTATTGTGCCTCCATATTGTAGAATCTTCTCTTGTTCCTTGTAGTATTCATGTCGATTTTGATGACTCTGAGTAAAGCATCCCAATTAGAATGTCTGTGTTCAAGCTTCTTTCATGAGCTTCATCGAGAATTATCACAGAGTAACGCCTTAATAAGAAATCATTCTGCAATAGATGAAATTTCTACAATCAAATTCTGAGATGGAAAAAAAAATCTACAAAAAAGCCATGATTACCTGAATTTCACGGAGTAAAACCCCTTCGGTCATAGACTTGATAGTTGCGTTCTCGCCAACCTTATAGACTTGATAGATGCGTTCTCGCCAATCTTATAGACTTGATAGTTGCGTTCTCGCCAATCTTTTTGTCATACCTAACCTGAAACCCGACTGCTTGACCGAGACGAACACCAAGTTCATGCGCTATTCTCTTGGCAGTAGCGAGGACAGCCACACGATGTGATTGTGTGATACTGATAACCACGCTTCGAGAGCTGAATTGCTTTGAACCAAAACCAGCTTCATAAAAGAATTGAACATTTCAGAAACCAGATTAGATTAGAATTGAGACCAAACTCAACCAAGAGAAAAACCTGTACAAATGCAACAAACTGACCTGAGGAACTTGAGTGGTTTTACCACAACCGGTCTTTCCTGAAAAAGAATAACGGTGGGATGATAATTAATAGCCTCCATGCTGGCAGCCTCCATGATCTCCTGCTCCATCATTATTATAGGAAGACCCTTCTTGGTTTGTTCAACTTCGGTGGTCTTGAAACATGAACTACAAACGCAGGTCCTTGTACGGTTACATCTTCACTCTCATCCTGTTTTCATTTAAAAAACCCATTAAAACCAATCAAACCAAAACACAGCCGAATTTCAAAATTTGACAAACCATTCTTTGTAAGCCTTCTTCATCATCATCATCACGACCAGATGTCAGTAGATTCATATCCACTGCATGTTTATCTTCTTCATAGATCTCTTCAGCAGGAATCGTCACTTTAAAATCAAGTTCATTTGCATTAACAAATTTCTCAGAATCAGTTTGAAGACTCGGGATATCAACGTTTACAGCAGGTTCCAGTGTGGTAGGCTCGTCCATGCAAGAATCATTGTCCATAACTGGTTCATCAGAATGCTCAGACACAACACCAGCTTTAGAGAGTTGTATTGGTCTCCTACGTTTCTCTAGCTTATATCAGACTGAAACAGAAAAGGATAATCAGAACACCATTTAACTCTAAAGCTGCTTTAAGATTAGAGGAAACTGCAGTAGCTTACTCTTCCAATAGCTTTTGAAGATTGTTAAAACGAAGACACATCTTCAGAAATTTTATACTTGCTGCAGAAACACATAAAGTAAATAAGATGATGAATTTGGGAAGTGAAGAGAAGTGCAATCATACCCTAACAACTCTGTGGTAGAGAGGATCTCTTTCTCCTTTTCTTCCTCCAACTTGTTCAGCTTCCGTTTCTGGGATTTGCTCAAAGTCGTCTTCTTTAACTTCAGCTTGTCACAGATCTGTGAAAAAGTTGCAGGTTTTAGTCATGATTAAAAACTTGCAAACACCTTACTACAGAATAATCGTTTTATTAGGGTTTTTTGCTAAACCTTATTGGGTCCTTTATTCTTCTTCCTTGGAGGCATTATGTCTAAATTGGTATCTTTTCCTTTCATTCTTGCCGATATACTGGAAGAAGAAAACAAAATATGTCTGTAAAGAAACAGAGAAACAGAGAAAGGAAGATGAAACAAAATAACTATAAAGAGAGAAGTCAGTCCGTACCTCTAGGAATCGCTCGCTAGGTTGGGCTGCTGGAGGAAGAACTGAGAAAAGCTGCCTGATGAATCATTAAAATCAATTAAATTTATTCTTCACTATAAAATAAGGAAATTTTGTTAAAAAAACAAAAAAAATAACCCAACATATTTGTCCTAAGATCTATTCGTGTCTTCATAAATTTAGATTACCAGAACTTCGATTATGCCTTCGATTAAGACAGCATACTCCATGACCTCTATCATCATGTTAGAGGAAGAACCCTAATTTTGCAGACGAAGGAGACGCAAGACGACTTATCACTTTCCACGGGTCAGCAAACAAAATAATATCGGGCTTTTAACTCATAAAGCCCACAACGAAAAAAACGCATAAACTGATTTTTGACGTCGCTTGCTGAGGTGTATTAAGGAGAAGAGAGTACACATCTTCTTTATTTATTTTTTTGACAACAAACGGCTGATATATTACACCTCTTCTTTATATATAAAGATTGTTATTATTTATTAATATATTTTTGAGTTTGATACATAAAACTATAATCTGAAATAATCAAATATATAACCTTCTTTAATATAGAGTTTTAGTTTCTACAATTTGCATACAATACATTTTAAATTTTATTTAGGTATACTATAGATAGATATTTATTAATGATAATTCTTATTTTCATGTTGTTTTTTCTTTTTAGCCCATTTTTTCTTTCTTCTTTGTCTATATAACAAACTTGTAACAAAAACAAAACCCTAGTTTAACATACAGAGCCCTCTCGAGTAATTTACTTCTCCACCAGAAGATCACAATGATAATGTCCGATCTTCCTCAAGATTTGGTAGATGAAATACTCTCTAGGGTCCCAGCCAGCTCTCTGAAACGATTAAGATCTACTTGCAAACGATGGAATGCTTTATTCAAAGACAGCGTCTTCACCGAGATGCACTTCCGTAATGCTCCAAAGCAGTCCTTGGTTCTCGCGTTGAAGGAATCTAGTTCTTTCTTAGTGAGCTTCGGTCACAACGCCTCTTCCCCCCCATCTATAGAGACTAAGGTTGCACTTAGCCTAAAGGATTCCCATTCTAGCTCAAAACAAGTTGGTATAAACAATATTTTTCACTGCGACGGTTTGCTGTTATGCACCACTATGAACGATAGAGTTGTGGTTTGGAATCCATGTTCTGGAGAAACCAAATGGATCCAAACTGAACGTGAGCACAATTCATACTCTAGGTTTTTTCTAGGTCACGACAACAACAAACTTTTTCAGGCCTACAAAATCCTGAGGTTTTACAGACGTAACCACATTAAAGTGTTTGAAATTTATGAGTTGAGCTCTGCTTCGTGGAGGGTTCTTGATGATGTCACTCAAGACTGGAACATTGATCAAACGTGCGTGTCTTTGAAAGGAAATGCTTACTGGCTTTCTTCTTGGGATCAAAAAGACCCCTTCTTAACTAGTTTTGATTTTAGGAGAGAGCGGTGTAGACGTCTCTGTCTTCCTACCTTTCAGAGTCGTGGTCGGATATGTCTGTCGGTTGTTAGAGAAGAACAACTCGCAGTGTTACATAAATGCTATGATACATCAAAGTTGGAGATATGGGTAACCAATAAAATTGATACTGAAGCTGCTTTATGGACCAAATCCTTTACAGTGGATTTACACAATGATTTTGATAAGGACCCGTTCAGATTTTTGATGGACGAGGAAAAGAAAGTTGTTGTGTGTTTCAATGTCACGGCGGCGGGATACAAGCTTGATAAATATAACGCAGAATCGTCTTCTGTAGTAAGTACAGTGCCATCACGGCATCCACTTATTATTTACAGCTATGTTCCAAGTTTGGTTCAAATCCAGCAAAACTAGAGTCAAAAGTAAAGAAAGAAACTAATGTTTGTATACATCAATTTGTCGTTTGGTTAGTTTAATGACTTGATCTGTTATGCTTCCTTCTTCTCTTTTATTACATTCAAGTTGATGACTAATACAGTAACGAGCTTGATTTGTAGATCTTTTTATCTTTGTTAATGTCTTTTTAGAGAATCAAAAATAAAATGAACGATGATATGAAAGCGAACTGAAAATATCAAAAATGAACCAACTTACTCCATTTGCAGCTAAGTAGATATGGCGAGATGATCATTATTGACTAGTTGATCATTAGTTTTCATGTTCTCCAATTGCACATCTGATAACACATTCTCTAATATACTAATAACAAGTGATACCCAATAAAATGTCCTTTCTCACTTTTACCTTCTAATTTGCTCTGCTTGTTTGACACATGAGTTTTCAAAAACTCCTAGGTGTGAAATATCCGGTTTCTTTCTGTTGCAAGTGTCTTGTAGTTTCTTATTAGTATTTTCGAAGTCAATTATTTTCGTTAGCATGTTCATGATTTTTTTTCTCAAGACCAACTATCTTAACCAAAACTAAACCGAATCAAACCCAAAACTAGTCAAAATGAGTAGAAGCTATGATTATAACCAGAGAGATTCATGCTTTATGTCTATAACTACATGGACCTTACTCTGTCTTAATCGCCTTATGTACAAATGATTTACATGTTTTGGTTTCTGTTAAGCATATCTGTTCGTTTCAGCGATTATGTGTAAGAGAATCCGACCCCTCTCCTTCTAGCGTCAAACTGTGGGAACTGAGATTCACATCGTCGATTTTCCGTCAATTATCGAAACTTAGGGAAAACCCTAATTCTTCTGAGGTCCTGGATCTCTGCGAAAATCACTAAAATGAACAAAGTTAACAGAATACAGATGAACAAGAACAACAACGAGTTGACTACAGATAAAGAATTTGCGTGAGAGCTTGATTGAATAAGAGATTGACTGCTGTTACAAAGAGAATCGCGGAACTTAGACGTCAAAACGTTCTAATTAAGGATCCGACTTGCTAGTCTAAACACCTAAGTCCTAAATTCGCCTAAGCTAACAGCCGCTTCTCTAGGTCTAATTTTCGTCCTCTGCTTCTATCCTCTGCCTCTTGCTTATATACTCCCTTCCTAGGCGGTTTAGTCTTTCCATTTCGCCTAGATTCGAGTTTATCGAGAATCTTCCATTTATCTCGATCTTTCCTTTTTTCCCGCGGAAATCTTCTATTTATCTTCAAACTTGCCATTTATCTTTGAATTTGACATTTATCTTCTTTCCTATGAATAAATCATCAAGACGTCGTATCTTCGGCTTGGATTTCGTTAAGTCGCGAGTAGGCTTTATCGCCTTTTAGGACTTTTCGAGCCGTTTAGCGATAAGAAACCGTTTTACGACTTTAGACGAGATCGTTTCCTGATGCGATGCCGTTTTTAAGTAAGTTTCTCGAGTTAATCGTAAAGTTTGGCAATGTTCGATGTTCGGTTAATCGTTGCAGTTTTTCTACGATTCACTCGACACTTTTATTAAAAACGGGGTTTTTACGATTTCTCACGAAAATCTCGAGTAAATCGTATAGTTTAGGCAATGTTCGGTGTTTTGTTAACCGTTGCCGTTTTATACGCCAAGGCATTGTAGATGTTTTTATGAGATAAAAACAATAACTGAAAACAAGGAGAAGCTGATGATGAGTGAATATGCAAGGCGGCATTGGGAAAGGAATGATGTGTTCTCTTCACTATTATTTTTTGGTTTATATATATATACAGTTAGCCTATATATAATTAATCAGTGTTTCATTCTCACATATAGATATAATCATTTTACAAATATTTATTAGTAGTGTATTATAAATTCAAATATCATGATAAATTATGCTTTATATTTTAATTTTGTTGTCTAGATAATAATAATTTTTTTGCTTACTTGATAAAAAAATATACACGTATTTATCTTATTATTCATCAATAGTATTTTTTCTGTTAAAGAAAAATAGATAATGATCATTATTAAGTCATATGAAAACACTATGATCACCTGTAAATTGGGTATTTGCGATGTTAATTTTTCACTCTGAGTTCTCATGCTGAAAGTTAAAACATTTCATATTATTGATATTTTTAATAAATGACTATCTTTATTCATTATATAATTGATCATATATTAGTTAATTATTTATCTTACTATTTCACAAACATTATTTTCTGTAAAAGAAAAATAGATAATGATCATCATCATGTAATATCAAAACACCATTATGTAATGAAACAAAACATATATAGTAAAAGACTTAATAATCTATACATCAGGTAATCTATATTATTAAAACTAAAGTAACTTTTGGTATTGTTTGAAAACATGAATAACAATTTAAATTAGAACTGTTAACATTAATTTTAGTATTTTTAGTACTTCCTTTTATTTACATATTTAGCCATTATATTTATAATAAATAAAGTATTTCTTATTTTATTTTATTTTTTATTTATAGATTATGACACTGTTTTAAAAATCAATTTAAATTAATTAATTACAATTCCAAATCTTATCTAACCAAATCAATATTCATATATTGACCATCATTAATATTGTATGAATATTTATTAAATCGATTGTATTAAAGGAAGATATCATTTTTAATATAGTCAATTTAATTAATATTCGTACAATATTAATAATGGGTAATGAAAAAAGTATTTTTTCATTTTAAAATAAATTAACGAAAAAACAACAAGTTAATGTATGAATAGACAATTACATCAAATTGCATCAAGTTATAGAATTTTTAATATAATATTATGTATAAATTAAAAAATATTATCAAACATTTATATTATAAAATGATATATTCTATTCTATATATAAATTACAAAACATGAAAAATAGACATAGATTTTTTTATATAACCAACGGTTTATGAGTTTATGTTGAATATAAGTTAAATCAAACATTCACGTGGAATCCCGGATCATGTAATAGTTAATAGGTGTTTTCCTACACCATGTGCAGTGATAAATTTTTAAAAGTTAAATTATATTTAAAATAAATTTGTTAATATTATATATTTTATTATTTCGACTAATAGTTAATATTAATTTGATTTAATTAAACACCAAATTAATAAAAATAAATTTATTTATTTTAAATTATACTTAATAATATATATTTAATATATTGAAAATTTCAATATTAGAAAAAAAATTATCTGTTTATTTTTGTTAAATGTATTAAATCAACTTGTATAAAATTACTAAGAAAATTCATATAAAATTGTCTAGCTATTAAAATTATAACTAAAAAATATTTATAAAATTTGTCACTATCTAAAAGAAACCGATGATGTTACGATTAATAATTTATCAATTTCTTAAAAGGATGTAGAAAATTGTGAAAATATTAGAAATAAAAATTTTATAATTATAAACGTAAAATTAAATAATATTTCAAAATTTATAATACATATTGCAATATATTTATTTTTAGTGATGGTCTAATTTATGAGTTATTACCATATTGTAAGTAGTTTATCAAAAATATAAATCAACATTAAATGTAATCTATCAGTTATAGTCATATTCTATAAAGTTTATCAAAAATATATATCGACAATAAATGTAATTGTCCATGTCATATTTAAGGATAAACCATGTTATCAATCTTAGTAACCATGTAATCATATTTTTGTAAAAGAAATTGTAGAGATGACATGTGGCAAATCACCTTGCAAATAATATATAGGGGATAGATGAGAGGGTTAATATAATTAATCATAATTGTAATCGACCAAAGTACGGGGGGCTTTTTGCCAATTTGTTTTTCTTTCTTGTTTGTCTATAAGACAAACTTGTAGCAAAAGCAAAACCCTAGTTTCACCCCCCATAAGATCACAAAAATAATGTCCTATCTTCCTCAAGATTTGGTAGAGGAAATACTCTCTAGGGTCCCAGCCAGCTCTCTGAAACGATTAAGATCTACTTGCAAACGATGGAATGCTTTATTCAAAGACAGCGTCTTCACCGAGAAGCACTTCCGTAATGCTCCAAAGCAGTCCTTGGTTCTCGCGTTGAAGGTATATAGGGTTTACTTAGTGAGCCTCAGTCACATCGCCTCTTCCCTATATATAGAGACTAAGGTTGCACTTAGCCTAAAGGATTCCCATTCTAGCTCAAAACAAGTTGGTATAGACGATATTCTTCACTGCGACGGTTTGCTGTTATGCACCACTATGAACGATAGAGTTGTGGTTTGGAATCCATGTTCTGGAGAAACCAAATGGATCCAAACTGAACGTGAGCACAATGCATACTCTAGGTTTGCTCTAGGTCACGACAACAACAAACTTTGTCCGGCCTACAAAATCTTGACGTTTTACAGACGTAACCACATTAAAGTGTTTGAAATTTATGAGTTGAGCTCTGCTTCATGGAGGGTTCTTGATGATGTCACTCAAGACTGGTACATTGACGAAACGTGCGTGTCTTTGAAAGGAAATGCGTACTGGTGTTCTTCGGGTCAAAAAGACAAGTTCTTAAGTTGTTTTGATTTTAGGAGAGAGCGGTTTAGACGTCTCTGTCTTCCTACCTTTCAGAGTCGTGGTCGGGTATGTCTGTCAGTTGTTAGAGAAGAAAAACTTTCAGTGTTACATAAATGCTATAATACATCAAAGATTGATATATGGGTGACCAATAAAATTGATACCGAAGCTGCTTTATGGACCAAATCCTTTACAGTGGATTTACACAATGATTTTGACAAGGACCCGTTCAGATTTTTGGTGGACGAGGAAAAGAAAGTGGTTGTGTGTTGTAAAGTCACGCTGGGTAAGGCATACACGCTTGATAAATATTACGCAGAATCATCTTCTGTAGTACTAGTAAGTACAGTGCCATCATGGCATCCACTTATTATTTACAGCTACGTTCCAAGTTTGGTTCAAATCCAGCAAAAGTAGAGTCAAAAGTAAAGAATAAACTACTTGTTGTAGACATTAATTTTGTGGTTTGATTAGTTTAATGACTATGCTCTCTTTTTTTTTGGAAAGAATGTTAAATTTATTCGAACAAAAAAAGTTTTCTTACAAAATAATGCATCTTGGAACTAGCTTGTGTTCGTAGTTTGGTTGTGTAAAAAAAAAAAACAGAAAATAAAGCTTGGTTCAAGTGTTCGTAGTCCCTTGTAATGGACTGATTCTGTTCATGACCTGTTTGTCAATGAACTTGATAATTAATTAATTATCCTTGGAGAGGAACAAGAAATACAGAATCATTTGCTTTTCCAGTGCAGAGTAACTGAAGAGATAGGTAATCTAGCCTATGCCTCTCACTGCCCAGGTGACTTCTTTTCCCAACACAACTTACATGATAATATAAGATATATGCTTAATTTAAAAACTTTGTGGACCCTCTACTAAAGAAATTTCAAGTATGTTTTTGGGATGGAGGATGTAGAACATGAATAATGATCTACTATTTAAATGGGGAGTATCATATCAATAAGGCTTTCCTTGATGCAAATTTATGGACCAAGCTGTAAACATGAAGAGTCGACAAAAACCCTACATCCACAATATGATATTATTCATGTTCTTCTATAGATGCCTTTATAAAAATCAGGAGACCAATAAGCTGGTATTGGTTGGATTCTGCTGGACAATGGAGGAAAGAGTATATGTCGATTTATCCAACACAGACTCAACTCGAAGCTGAAGCAATAGCGCTAAGAACAGTAATAGTGCAATTCCTCAGATTAATAGAAGTCCTACAACACTTTTCCGAGAAGACCCTAAATGACACAAAACCATGCGATAGTCTACATTGGTGATATTCAAAGGCTCATAAGTTCCTTTTCTCTCATGTAGAAAGGGAAGCCAGTGGTCAAACTTGAGCTTAAGCTAGAGATGCAAGAAAAGAAGAATACCATTATGTAATAAGTTGCAGTATTTATTTGGCTTAGATAGATGAATCGTCTACGTTGTGATACATGATGCTAGAACTCAAGATTTTATAATTCGAGACAAGATAATAGTGAAAATAAGTTGATAGGAAACAAAATTCTCAAGTCTGAGATTATAAGAGTTGCATAAAAGTCAATAACAAAAGGTTTAGGTTCCGCTGAATATTCTGAAATCAACATGAACTAAAAACAAAGTAGCACACTAGCAGAAAACAGAGAGTGAGAGAGGAATGGTTTTTAGGTAAGGCTCTTCAACGTTTGCCACCACCACCTCCCAACTTAGGACCTCCCTTGGCAGCAGCCTTGGGGATCTTTGCCTGAATCTTCTGTTGCTTTGAAGCAAATTCAGCCTTCTTTGCCTTCTTCTCATCTTTAGTCTTCTTAATCCTCTCCTTGATGTCACTGTTAGGACCATCACAATTCACTTAGTCAATCCCATTTTCCGAAATTAAAGAATAGGTTCTAACTGAACAAATCAAAAACTAACCGAAGAGCAGCCTCTCTTGCAGCATCACGAACTTCAGGCTTCTCAGCTCTCTTCTTCTGAATAACTTCCAAGGTAGCACCAACAATAGACCTTGAGTACGGCTTCTTGGTAGCACGTCTCCTCTTCTTCACAGCCTCTTGTGCTGCATCCTACAAAAAAACAATCATAATTTTCAAACAGGGTCATTATCATAATCCAACGGAGGCTCTTACAAAAACAAACAGAACCAAACTAGTTCTAGTTTTTTATTTACCTTCTTGTGCTGCTTTCTGTACATGGTAGTCCAGCAAAGCTTGGAAGGCTTCAGTTTATTGTGGAAGTAATGCTTACACTTGGAGTTGATGAACAGGAACACCTTTATGTAGCAGACAAACATTAAGAGGAGATTAGAGACTAAAACATCAAATATTTCACAGCTCTAAAAGAATAATAAATATACCTGAGAGTCAGATCGGATAAATCTGATTCCTCTTCCTGGGTAAATTTTGTGGCCACTGAAACGACAAAGCTCCGTCCTGACATCACAAAGATAACCACATAATGAGAGACATAGCATTGGATTTTCAGACAAACATGTAAGAAATGATTCATTCAATACCAAACAAAGACCACTAATCAAATGTTTATGACTCTCAGGCTATGAGTTTCATACATGAATACTTAATCATACAAATATATATATGCAAATGGATTAAACCATAACAATATAACAGACCAAAGAGCAGAACCAGATCCAGTCACATCAGATTTTGACTACAAAACTAATAGATGAATAGTTACGAATCAAGACATAGAGAGAGAGATGGGAAGGTTTCATTACTTGAGAACCATGTTTGCTGCTGCTCCTCTTCTTCCTCCTCCTGAGACTAGAAAACCCTAATTCACTCATTCGCGGCGAATGCATTTTCTTATATATATATAGCATTATCTTCATTTCATTAGCCCACACACAATTAAAGCCCATTAGTGAAAGCCCATAGACTCTCGGCCCATTAAGTTTTAAATTAAATAGCGATGACGTCATCATCTCCTCAATCATTTCTTTTTCTGCCGGTAGAAGGAAGGAACCGGTCGCTAGTAGGAGCGTTAGAAAAACGGTGACGTATCGTAAAGGTAGTAGATTGAAAGTTTGAACAAGTAGCTAAAAGCTTCCCCGTCTGCACAACCTTCCAGAAGAAAACAAAAAAAGAGAGAGAGATCCACAAGATTGGATTCAGTCATCGCCGGAGAGAGTAGTAGACTGAGAGAGAAAGATAGTTCTATCTCTTCCCCCTTGCGGCTAGATCGGTGAAAACATGGAGGCGGAGAAGTGGAGCAGCGACGGCGGCGAATACACCTCGGAAGACGAAGGGACTGAGGATTACCGTCGCGGCGGTTACCACGCCGTGAGGGTCGGCGACTCCTTCAAGAACGGCCGGTACGTTGTACAGAGCAAACTAGGTTGGGGCCACTTCTCCACCGTATGGCTCTCCTGGGACACTTTATCCTCTGTAAGCACATCTCTCTCTCTCTATCGCTAGTTTTCACATAAATCAATTTAATCTAATAATCATTTAATCAATTCGATGTTAATTAGATTGACCAAAACAGCTGTCAGTTACTTAATCACAATGTTCAAGAAATCGTTAGTTGAGTTCTTTACAGAGGATTATTGA